AACTCTCAAGTAAACTGAGAGGGGGGGGGGGGGGCTTTCACTGTTACTTACTACGAATGTTTACGCTTAAAACCATGACGTTATTATAATGTAAGCTAGAGGTTCCAATGGCGCTAGTGTGCTGTTGCAAATTGAAGCAGACAACGACAAGTCGGAAATTGATTTTCGATAATGCATTTTTATGGGAAAAAGCGAGTGCATTTTCTCTCTGCACTTGATTATAAGGGCAAATATCACGAATAATTCGCACGAACTACGTAGATTAGAACATTTCTCAGTCACGGAGACGAAGTAATTTGTCAATTATTGCGTTTTTCCTACAGATGCATGGCATTAAACACTGTGCTAAAACAGCTTCATGTATGCATTTATGGGCACTGTCGGACACAGCGCGAACACGGCGTCGGCGCTTTTCAGCATGGAGGATACCAAACGAATGAAGGAAGTCCGGAAAACGAATAGAGATGGCAAGAACTACACGGTAACAATGGACCAGTAACGCCTTGTGCATGTAGCGGTTCAAAACAAATTGAAGTCCACTTAATGTAGACCTATTTGCAATAAATAAGTTATGCTTTAGTCCTTCTGCTTATGACTATGTACGATGATGCTTTTTCTGCGTTGATGCTCGGAGCTCGGAGCACGTGGAGCGAAAGCTCGCGCTGCAGAGCCCATGGAATCCTGGGTTCGATCCCCACCCCTGCCCGTTTCGATCTGGATGAGCATCGTATCGGCGCGCAGTCGTGTATCACTACTGCGTGGTGCACCTCAAAAGCACCAGGCTAGCGGTTGCATTCTACTGGCTAAATTTTGCGTCTATACCTGAGACACACGCCGACTCAGGTTGACTAGCTTCCGGCTGTATAAACATACACACAACATTATTTAAAAAGATTGGTGGACGATCATGCGGGGTGACGGTTTAGACAGCGCTATAGCTGTGCAGCTTATTCGACGATATGATGATGACGACCGTCACATCATCGCCAAATTGTTCAGGTTGGTAGATTGGTAGATAGGTCACGTGACATAATTTTTTCCGCTAAATTTAGGGAGGAACCTGATTTCGTGTGTAGGTCTCGTGACGTGAGGTCACGTGACACCAATTTTCCCGCCAAATTTAGGGGGGAAACTGAACTGGTCCACACGTCATGTGATGTAAATTTTCCTGCCAATTTTAGCAGGGAAACTGAATTGGTGCATGAATCACGTGACGTCAATTTTTCCGCTAAATTTACTGAGGAAACTAAATTCGTTTACGCTCACGCCACCGGAAAACCGGAGGGGACGAGTCCGTATAATACCTCTCGGTGTAGAACCGGATTTCCCTCTTCGTTCATTCCTTTGCAATACTTGATGAAGTCTTGAGTTCCATTGTTGGCGTGCGGGTACCCGTGGTGACTATAGTAGAATGCAGCTCCTAGATCGGAAACAAGCACTGCGTGAACACTTGGCTAGGGCTCGTGACAATCAATGCCTTGACAAGCATTCGGATTATGGCTACGTTTACACGAAGGCGATCGTAGCACATCGAATCGTGCAGGGACCAGTCTCACGCAGCCTGTTTTCCTACTTCTTCCTTTCTACCCATCTGCTACCAATGAAAATAGTCAAATCTCGATCCGATGCGCTACGGTCGCATCCTGTAAAGTTAAACGCAGCCAGTGACCCGAGTCCAGTGACTGCATTAACGGTAATACCCGTGCTGTAACAATGTCTGTGAATCAGCGCATGCCCTGGGCTTTGATAGCCTCAGCGTGACGGAAGATCGCGTTCGCCTCTTGTTCTGGCTGTGAGTTGAGAGGGTGAATACCGCTGGTTTTAATGCGGTAGCATTATTTAGCTAACTTCCCCACCCCTCCCTCCCCAATTTTGTGGACCTTTGTAGCCTCTTCATGCGCAGGTTCCCCTCTAAATTTAACAGAACAATTGATGTCACATGACCTATACACAAATTCAGTTTCTCTGCTAAATATAGCGGCAAATTTGATGTCACGTGACCTGACTTCACGGGACCTAGAAACAAATTCAGTTTCCCCACTAGGTTTAGCGGAACAATTGACGTCACGTGAGTTTAGTTTGCCAGCTAAATTTAGCGGGAAATGTGATGCAGTGTGACCTGAAGTCACGAGACATACAAACCAATTAAGTTTCCCCGCTAAATTTAGCGGAAAAATTGACGTCACGAGACCTCTACAAATATTGAGTTTCCCCGCTAATTGTAGCGGAAAGATTGACATCTCATGACCTATAAACCTATTCAGTTTCCCCTCCAGATTTAGTGGAAATTGTTTTGTCACGTGACCTGACGTCACGTCTAGGACGACCTCTAGGATGGCCTCTATGGCTCTAGGCCCTTGAGGTTGTCCTAGGGGTTGTCCTTGAGGTCGTTCCAGACGTCGTCTTTGTGCGTCCTAGACGTCGTTTTTAACGTCGTCCTCGAGGTCGCCCATATCCTCGTAACAAAAGAAGGAGGTACACATATGGAATGCTATCGCAATTCATAGACGACCAACAATAGTGGTTTCTGCAGCCAATTTTTGGTAATTGTTTTGCGACTGGCATTGCGTACAGAAAAAAAAAACCTGACTCGCGTTGTGTAGGTTATAAACGTCAAGGCGTGGTGCTTAATGAAAGTACGGAAATGTTTACACTACCCCTATAGAGGAACTTGCTCTCAGGCTTGGGTTTGCGTAGGTGACACAGACACGTATGAGCTCCTGAAACACGCGCTCTCGAGTTGTATACTTATGCCTTTTATCGCCCACATATGCAGACCCAACTAGCCTGTGCTTGGGTCGGAGATGCAGTTGTAAGAAATATTCAGTCTTCTGGCTATGTAAACTGACAGCTCAGAAGGAAGTATCTTTCATTTCCCAATTAGAGGACGCAAAGCAGAAACGCGTCGCTGGTGTTTGTCTCTAAGGGGAATTCTCGAAACTATCAGGGTTATTGACTCGAATCGACGATATTACTTCGAATTTTGAATACCTTGGGGCACATTCCCGCGAGTTCGCGTTCTTACAACTCTTCAGTGGCGGTAACAAATGAGGAATCCCAAACTTCGCCGAAAGGAGATCAAAGAGGCGGTCTCGACTTTGTGTCTGATTCGGTCTCTCCGCGGGAGCCGCTATCAAAGGAAGGCGGCACTTCGATTTCGAGTGCGATGTCAGTGGGACGGACTTTGTCGACTAAAGCAGTATCTTCGTCCGAAAAGTGCGACATTTCATCTTTGCGATCTCGGTGAGGGCTTGTGCCGACTCATCAGTGCCGCTCCTATCGCGAACATTGTCTTCTCTCGAGTTGTCCTCTTCAAAAAACCGTTGGCTAGCTAAAATGCTCGTATTCCAAAGATTAAAAAACGAAGGCAAAAAACGCTTCCATCTTTGAAAGTCATCTTGGAGTTTTTGTCCCGATTGAACAATAGACGTGCGTTCGGCGATATAATATATGCTGCGCTCATCGTAAACATTCCTCGAAAGCATGAAAGCTCCTTTTGGTCGCCCACCCCTACCTCTGGAACAAGTTCTCTCATGGGCCCCAAGAGCCGAAAAACAACGCGTTGCATTTAAAAATCTTAGAACATGACGGCGCCGACACAATATAGCAGGAAGTTTTGTGACCTTTCTCTTTCTCGCTCTAAAACATGCGAAAGAACGTCTCCATGATCAAGCTCTCTTTTTTTCGGTCAAGCGTATCCAGAAGCTTTGCGTACCCAACAGCGCTACCGCCACTGCACATGCGCCGAGGCCTAGCCGCTTTTTTGTATTGGCGCATGGCGATAGCGCTATTTCTTTGCGTACGCAAAGCTTTTGGCTACGCTATTCTAAAGATCGATCACTATTAGGGAGTTTTAGAATAACGTACGCAATTTTAGCGCACGCTAGCGCTAAATTTAGCGCTTGCTTTAGCGCACGCGAAACAAGAGACTTTTAGAATAGCGTTTCTCTGCCGCGACGCAAAAGCCCAAGCATCTCGCGCTTGCAACGCCACCAAGATACAGTCACGATTTTTATTTCACACACCAAATGCTGCAACATGAAAAAAAAAAAACAAGATTTTTGGTCCGGAGTAAGAATTTTACATTTCTTTAAACGTGAGAGTGCGACGCGAGCGGTCGACCGGTCGTGTCCGCCGCATGCGTCGCCTCGGCAAGAGGGTACTGACCTTCGCCGATAAATGTTCGCTCGTCGCAAGCACCAAGTTGCCGGTGATCGTTGCCCACCCTACTGGGTTCCAAACCGAGTGCAATGTCGTCCCGCGGTCCCGTATTTGAAAACCGTAGTCGCGAGGATGCCGCCGACGTCGCGCTCACGACGCCGCCAAAGCGACCGCAGCCGTGGTATGGCCGTGGTCCTGGGGGCCGCCATGTTTTTTTTTTTAACCGTGCTCGTCTTGGCTTTAGCCAACTTCTCATCACGAATCCTCCTTAGAGGAGCGCAAAGGCCCTTTGCGTACGCACGCTATTTCCGAGAAATAGCGCACGCTAAAATTGCGCACGCAAAGCGCAAAACCTGGTTTGCGTTCGGAGCATGCGCAGTGGCGACGACGCTATTCTTTGCGTACGCAAAGCTTTAGCGTGCGCTATTCTAAAACTCCCTATTGGTGCTTAGGGCCGAGTGGGCGCCAATGGCGATCGTTACGAATTGAAAGTACGCCTTCCAGAACCTTATTAGCGACGTGCGCCACCAAAAGCGTCGCTGTATAGTCGAAGTTCGCGATTGGCCAAATGATACCTTCATGGACACTGATAATGCCTGCCCAGATCCTCGTCGTGACGTCGGGAGCGAGAACCATCAGGGAGCGCCACCCAAAACTTCACGGCGCTATTAGGTGTCAGGAAGCTCAGGCGATATTGTTTTGCTCTGTCTCGTATTCTTCAAGTACTTCTGAAGAAAGAAAAAACGTTTCCCGCAATTTTATATATCGCTCCAGATGGCTCGCAACGGTTATTTTAGGCGGCTCAAATGTCGTTACTCCGAAGTGTAGCGTATGGAAAGGCTCCAGCGGTCACCGTCGGTAATCACAAAGAGTTGCACCGCACGCGCTATCTAAGCTTATAGTACGATCGTGTTTTAGACGCCGTGAAACGAGAAGAACGCAGACGCCCTACGCCCTCACGCTTCCGTGGGTTGGTGAGTTGGCCCACGAACTCATGTTTACAAACAAACCGGAGCGCCCCTAGCGGACGCCACCGACGCCGCGCATGTGGGATGGGGGTGTGGGCAAGAAGCTTGCCGTCACCCATTAACAAACCATTGGAATGGGATGTAGTCGGCATCGGTATGAGTCTACGCGCTCTTTTTCGTGTTGGAATTGTTGATTCTGCGTCTTCCTGGCAATGTATGACTACTTGAGCGGTCTCAACGAAATTGACGAGGCTCGTTACACCACAAAACTTGCCGTGAATAATGTAACATGCGACGATTCATTTCACGGGGACGGCGCATGTCGCCGTCCCCGTGAAAGCCTGAATTACATGGTGAAGTTTTGCTCGCTATTTTCAGTCATGACGTCGCTCGGGCTGCAAAAGCCTGAACCGTAACTGAGATGTCGACATCGATACTGAAATCGCAAGCAGAATCGGACCGAGTGAATCAGGCACAACAAGTCGGTGATGGCCACTGGTTACAATTATCAACGTCTCCTTATATCTACTTTTTACTTCGAGCTCCACTTACACGAAGCAATCTTCAAACTTAAACGCCTTTTGAGGTCTGCACTTTTTATCGCAATTACCGGATCAACGTTTGGTCTACGGGCCGCTGCCGTTTGAACGAACAGACGACAAGCAAAAGCATTTCAGAGAGCAGACGACAGCTCGAACGATGAGGCGGCCGTTTGAACGTGATGACGCACTGAACGTAGTCCACAGGTGGTCCATGCAACTTGACGGTTTTCCCGCGTCCATGTTGGAACAAAACGAATGAATCTGACGACCACAAGTATCTGTGAATTCAATCCAAAGTGCTTCCCGCCCAAGCAATCGTGGTCCGACGGCGTCTGTTTTTACTTTTGAACGGCCCCTGTTCACGTTTTCGGACGAACGAGCAGGGAGAAAACGCATGAAACCTGACCTTCAAACCTTTCCCGACTCTTTGGTAAAGCCCCAGTCGCAGCGTTTTCACGAGAAGGCAGGCTTATGTCCGGATTCTTCCGAAGTAACACAGGAATGCACATACCCCATGGCGGCTTCCTCCCACAGCCCCAGACCGGAAATGCGCCCGACGCGCCACCACCGTGCCGTGACGTAACAAAGATGAGTTCGTGTATACACCGGTGTCCGTCGTCACAGCTCGAGCCACTAAATATAGCCACGCTTCAGGGTAACGACGCTTCAGCCATCTTGCTCCTTAAGATCATTGTTTCCAGTTATCCGAGGCTTTATCTGAAATCACGGAAAATTCTTCGCCGTCCTCCAGAAATGCTCGAACGGTCCGCGACTGGGCGAAATATTATCGCCCGTGCTTTAGAACACGGTCACCTGGAGTCCACGAAGTCGCATTTTCGAATTGTATACTTGCCGCCAACAGACCCTTTTCTAGGTCCATCGAGCAACATTGGCGGTCGCCAATGTTGCTTGGACATGTTGCCAATGTTACTTGGACACGCTTGGACATGAAGCGCGTGATTGAACCCGAGTTCACGCCGAACGCTGATGCAGCCCTCGTGTCCAATAGGTGCTCACTCGGAGTTCACGTGATCAAGCAATGACGGACAGGTGACAGCGCGCACTTTTGAAAAGGGTATGGTGCACCCGCTCTACGCAAAGCAGCAAAATAGCGGCGATCGCAAGGGCGGGGAATGGATTGCCCATACTTTGAGCGTAGCTTGTAGTATAGTGACTCTATAGTCACACCCGCAGCATGCTACGGTGTCTGTGGGCCTATAGAGAGCCACTAAATAAGCTACACTTCGGAGTAGAGCGACACTTAAGCCATGCAAGTTTTGGATTTAGATTTGAATTTAGGGCTAACCCCTTTGTATCGGGGGATCTCCACTACGGCGCTGGATCTAGCCCTTGGTGCTTAGAATCATGGTTGTTAGTTATCTGAAGCTTTATTCTGAAATCCCAGGAAACGCTTTTTCCATGTTCCATAAATGTTAAAACAGATTACGACAGAACGAAACAATGCCCCCAGAGCTTCCTATAGCTTACCCAGCTCTTTTCGTTGCTCTATGTGAGCCTATTACGCAATTTGATCTCACACAATAGAGGGTATCTGCCACGAGCAATCTGTACACGAAAACTGCGTGTATTGGGGTTGAAACTAAAACTTAGTGTGGTTGCGGACGATGCTTCGTAAAGCTCATCGCCACTGGTCCGTCACCATGCGTGTTACCTCGGTTGGGTTGAATTGAAAGATGACGATTGAAACATGCGTAATAGTACGTTCAATCGTTTCAAAATGCGAGTGTATATACTCACTGACAGCTTAAAGAAACGCGGGGCGTGGTTCAATGTGTTCACGCTTCTTTCTGCTTTGTGATTCGCCCGTCGGCGTTCTTAGCGGACGATAGCGCAATCTCATAGGCTGTGAAACGATCATAAGATACCGGAGGCTCGCAACGCCCGGCGCTTCTTTGTGACAATAGCACCATCCTCGTCCACTTATTTTTCGTGGGAGTGTTATGCCACCGCGCTTACTTCCTACGAATCAACGGAGAGCGAGAAAGAGATATTCTATTAGCCGCAGTGATAGTTGCCCCTCTCCCCCCAATCTCGACTTCGGCCATTTTTCGACGCGCTCTTCTTGGCAACCGCGCCGTCGTTTTTAAGTGGACGGCGTACGCTGCCGAGGGTTTCACTTGGGGGGGGGGGGGGGGGGGGGGGGGGGGGACGGGGACGAGACAGACGCCTTTCTAAACGGAGACCACTTAGTGCCGCGCCACACACGAATTAAGGGCGTGCGTGGGGTTTCCTGTTGACGTCCTTCGCGCTTGCATCATTGGACACCACTGTTCCGTGCATCGCGTAATAGAAGATCCATGCATTGGCTCGATATTGGAACGTTGTGTCATTTTCGTGATTAACTTTTTTTTTTTTCATAGCTAACCTTAATGAAATATAGTCGAGTGTTTATCTATACCGGTCAACGCTGCATCAACCTGTGATCACCACACGAAAGTTCCTAAAGAAATTACATCATGTACAAAATGCATCTCAAAATTATTTTTTTCTTATTGCGAAAATTAATTATACCCCTAACCGAAAGCTCGTTCCCCACCCAAATGTAGCGCACGCGGTCCGGATCAGACGCCGAGGTTTGAGAAATCTTGTGTTTCTCGGACTAAAAAAAAAAAAGTTATGCGCGATTTTTGGAAGTTTTGAATAAGAAAGTGGCAGCTGACAAAGCCCACAAGTGCGTGCAAATGAATGACGTCGGCTGCAGGAAACGGCCCCCATTTCCCTATTGAAATTTTGAAAGTCGCTGGTAACTTTTGAATTAAAAAAACTCCAAGCTCTGAAGCTTTGACCTCTGGTCTGAACCGCAAGTGGATATTTAGCGTTCCGCAATGCGTAGTAAAAAAACGCACACACACAAAAATCTTTTTTTTTTATCACCCATTTATTGGCGAGACGGGAATCTATAAGCATCGATTTAAACATGGAGATGCCCTTGTTTGAACACGTGCGTATGTCTCCCGGTGATTTTAATGTTTGCAAAACCAAAATGTGCAGTGTCAGAAAATAAAAGCAGTGCGTGCTCTTAGTTCTCAAGCCCTCGGAAAGGCAAGGGGCAGATATACCCCCACGAACAATAGTGCGACAACATTCCCTCCCTCCCTCCCCGCACACGTGTTTTCCTTTCTTTTTTTCTTTCTTTCTGCCAGCGAAGTGTTGTTTTTTATGTGATACATTCCGTGAAAATAGAAGACCTCGAGCTTTATTGCTTTCAGAGCAAAATACAAACGGGCTGGTAATTGCCAATATTAGACATAAATATGTTTGCATCCAAAACGACACAAATCGAGTTAGAGTTCGAGGGAATGTTTATTAAACATAAATTACAAAAAAAATGGTATGTATGTCTATACAGCCAAGAACTTGGTCCGCCTCAAGGGGCGACGAGTCTCTCAGCTGTATATGAGAAATTTAACCAGTGCAGTACAACCGGTAGCCTGGGGTCTTTAACGTGCACCACACAGTGGTGATACATTACCGCACGCCGGTACGATACTCATCCAGATCGAAACGGGCAGGGGTGGAGATTAAACCCAGGATCCCTGGGTTCTGCAGCGCGAGCTTTCGCTCCACGTGCTCTGAGCTGGTGTGCGCAAACCCACTCGGCCACCGATCCCCCAACTTAAATTACAGGAGATCAAAACAGAGTTGTCCTCACCCTAATGATGCGATGGCCATGTGCACCGAGCCTGGAATATTCGTTTATGTGTGAGATATGACATGATGGTTGAGGAGGTGAAGATTGTCATATGGAGTGTTTCAGGCCACTTCCTGCAACTTAAGCCAAGAGTGACCTGAGAACATTAGTCCTTCGTTGAGAGTCCCCAGCCGGATGCGTCCAATCCATGAGGCTCGGGGGTCTTTCAACTTCCCGAAAAGACTCCTAATCATCTCCTCTTTGACTAGCCAGAGCATTACAGGATGTGGTGAAATTTCGGGACGGTTCAATCTTCCTTGCACCTCTGGCATCTAGGGTCTAGAGGAGAGAGAAGGGTTCCAATCGTTGGAATTGAGCTAAGTCTACGATGTACTTAGACCACGGCGTGACCGCTCTTTCGGATTGGATTCCGCGGAAAAGTACCATCTACTTGCGCTTTCTGGGGCGCGGCGTTCAGGGATCGGTTATTCGGCGGTTATTCGTCACGCTTGCAGCTTGCAGCAGCACTTTTTCCCCTCCTGAGAAGCCCAGTGGATCTTCCTTACCGGGTCGTACTTGCACAGTGAAGTTCATCTTGATTCGCCGGACACCACGAAATGACTCGAGAGGGACGGAGACGTGAGGGTACGCGCCTGAATCTGAGCCGTGAGCTGTCGATTTGCCCTGGATGTCTTCGTGCCCGAGAGCTCATATTGTGCTGACCCTGGTACCCAAGGTACAAGGCCAGTGCTTTGTCGAAAAGAGATGTCACCATAGGATTTGTCATAGGCTTCAGTCTCTTCAGATCTCCC